TCTATTCGGTGAAAGTGTCAAATGGTCTATTATTATGTAAATGAGAGTGATCCAGTGGCGCACCGCGTTAAGGCGCCGCTTGCAAATCCAATGTAGGTTTGACGGTAGCGGGATCGATTCCCTGGAGGAGACGTTCAATGATTTTGTTTTTTCCTTTTTATTTTATTTATTGTTTATCTTTTTTTATTTATTTATTTATTTTTGCATAATTATTGTCTTCTCTTGTGTTTCACTTTCCCGAGAACCGTCTTTTTTTTACCGAGTGGATATATGATCGGCTCCCGCTCAAAGTCTTCGATGTACTAACATACTAAATGAGTGCTARKTTTGTTTTGGCAAAAAAATCTTTTATATCTTTAYTAGCAATCTAAAAAAAGATGTCGATTCATATTATAACGTTCTATTTCGAGCAGCTTTAGCTTCTTGTCGCAATTAGCGTGATGAAGGCTCCCGCTCAATTAAGGTCTTCCCAAAAATACTATCTAAGAATTAAAAAATATTTTATAACTTTATTAGCAATCTAAAAAAAGATGTCGATTCAATAACACCCATTGCGAGTATTTGTTCGAAAAGGCTTCCAAGCGACTTTTTGGTCTCCGCGCGTCTTCTCAAGACCTGGTGTCAGTTTTCTGTGCCATAATCAGATCCACATTAGGGTATGTTTCTCCCGCGTGGGCGGCCCTCCCTGAGTACCTGAGTGAACTTCTGGARAGGGTTCAAAAGAAAGCGTTGAGGATAATCTTAACTTCCCGGGCTTGTCTTACGAAGAGGCAATTATACAGCTGGCGAACATTGAGACACTGAGAGTGAGAAGGGACGAATCGTGTCGATCCTTTGCCAAGGAATCAGGGTGCATATCTGGACTATTTAAGAAACATATCACACAGGAACTGAAATACAATCTCAGGTCTGGCCAGCAAGCACAAAGGCAGGCCTTAGGCCGAACTGAGAGGTTTAATGAATTCATCACGGTCAAATATCAATAGACTATCAATAGATTATTAATGTATTACGAACCATGCTGTATTATTTATATATTTATATTATTTATGTTTTGAGTTGTAATGCTGGCTGACCCGCMATTCAGCCTATAAATGCTGCAATGGGTTTTTAAACAATTATTGATTGATTGATATTGTAACGTTCTATTTCGAGCAGCTTTAGTTTCTTGCCACACTTAGCGT